CACAGAGAAAAGGACACAAGTTTGCAAGTCCCAGCCTCTGAGCTCTGCCCCAGACTGCCACTGACAAAGTGACCTCAAACAAGCAGTTTGCCCTTCCTGCACCCCAGTGATACCCATCTGCAAGATAAAGATGGCAGCATCTGCACAGCATTGGATGCTGCGAGGCTGGACTGCTGCTAACAGGGAGCTGGAGATCCTTCAGTAAAACGTACAGCTGTATAGCAAAGCCGCATTAACCAACCTCCAGTGCAGAGCTGCAAGTGTGCTTCCTAAGTGCCTCCAGTTTTGCAGTGTGGGGACCACTCAGGTCTGGCTGCAGCCTGACAGTTGTCAACACAGGGGAAAAGATCTCTGCCCTCATACCCCCACAGTAGCTCTCTCTTGTGCCACATGCTTGCCTGGACCTGCTATGAGGTGACACAGCTGGAAGAAGGAAGGCCACAAGTAATTCCTAGGCACTGACCATGCCACAGCTGGCCCAGATGCCCCACCGCCTGGGGCTGTCACTTCTCACGTGCCCAGCACCTGAAGGAGACGCCTGCCTCCCCATCTGGGAGCTCAGAGGGGATGGACTTGCTGCATGGCCTCCGCACACAGCCCCATGCCTAGCGTGTGAGCCTCTTCACGACATCTCGGGCCCCAGACTTCTAGCTCGTTGAGACATCTCATTAACTATCAGATACACATGTTTGTATCCAACTGAGCAAATCACAAGTGCAGGCAAAAATACAATGGCTTTGACTTGGTTACCTTCCCTCTCCCTGGGAACCACGCTTCCTCTACACACCCTTCCTTGGAGAGCCTCTCCGTGCGCTGGGGACCTGCCAAGGGGAAGAGGTGAGCCCAGCGAGGGAGAGCAGAAACAGTCTCATAATCAGGCTCTCCACTTTATTTTAGAAACACGGCGACCTCCTGTCACCTTCCTTGTGGGAAAAGTTAGCGTGAAGTGTCAAGCTCAGCTATTTATATCGCTGCCGATAGTCTCGCCTGCCTTCTAAAGAGGGAAAAACTTTCTTCCTAACAATTCCAGGGGAAATAAACTCATATAAAGAAGAGGACTGTGCAGGAACAGACCTCCTGCCTCTTCGGTGTGAATTTCCTAGCTGTTCCCCAACGCCCCAGCTGGTCCATCCAGAACAAGCGCACCGGCTAGAGCAAACGGCAGCGATGCAAAATACTCGCCTGTCGTTCAAAGCATGCGGCATCACAAAGAGGATGGGCAAGACTGCTCTGAGAGCAACAGACACTTCCCCTCCCGCAGAAAAAGGTTGCGCAAAAAAAGGATGGTGGAGAGCAGCCCATTGCTGGTGAGCCAGCCTGGTGTACCAGCAGGTGCCGTCCCTGCTGGGGTATTTTTATCATGGAATTTGGCAGTCACAAGGCAGCCGGAAGATGAGCGGACTCCACACCTGGCCTGAAGGGTGATACTCTGTTTTCCCCAGCTTTAATAGTGTTCCAGGTGATAATTAAGCCAGGGCGGCCACGTCACTGGGTTTGTGCCAGGCTGCGCTGGTCTTTGTCACACACACATTTCCCGGTGCCAAGATCCCATGACTGCGCACAGCTCCTTTGTCGATCCAGCCGAAAAGCTGACAGCTAAAGGCACGTCTGGGCAGTGGCACAACCCACAACACTGCATGAATATGCATGACTCCACTCTCAAGACAGTCTACTATCAGGTGCTGAGACCCTGCGAAGATACCCAGAGGTGTTTTTTTGCTGAGCCACGCCAGAGTGAAATGAGATTTGTCCAATCGAGTCCAAACTAGGAATATAAAAGGCCACAGATGCTCACATGCTGAGAGGTCAAAGCATGCGGGGACAACAGTAGTCTGGGAATGAGGAAAGGGAACTATATGGAAAATTCCCAAGAATAGTAAAGCCCTGAGAAGAAAGGCTAGGTCAGAGGCAGTCCTGCCCAGCCAGCAAAAGCTGTCAGGAGGTGACAACAATCCTTCTTTGCTTGCTGGCAGCAGAGAGCTAGATGCTCTCTTCTGTTGCTCTTGGTCTGGCATTGCAAGAACAGCTCACTAATAACTAGAAAACATCTAAGCCAAAAGCACTGCTCTAGGAGAGAAACTCCTTCTCTTGGTTTCCAAAACCTGTTCTCCCATGGACACCTACCCCCTTGCAGCAGCCATCTCGGCTCCCCATGGGGCTGCAGCAGGATGATCAGGAGGCATTCGGCTCTTTGGGAAGCCCCTCCTTTAAACAGCCTGTGCAGGGGAGCAGCCAGCAGGAAGGGCAGAGAACGGCCCTAGCAGCTAGCCTAAGCCTCATGGCTGCCAGCCTTGGATCATTCTGATTTACGTCCTCTTGGAAAACTTTGTGTATGTGCGAGGCAGGTAAATTACTGTTATTCTTGCACCCATTAACACTTTTTATTTCCTGACTCCTCTTGCACTTAGGTTTGCTTTACTTTGTGTTCTGTACACATTGATTTTTACAATTTGCAAGTGTCTGGGTTTAGTAGCCTTCCCTAGGGAAAACAAGCCATAATAAAACCCCAAACTACCTGCACAGGGTAGAACTGATGGAAAGAGATGCTCAGTTTGTGATTGCACAAGGTTATGGAAGGAAGGAAAACTCAGCCTTGGCCCAGCCAGGGAGAACTGTGTTCATTTTCACCCTGACAAGCAAGGTGAATCAAGAAAAGGCAGCTGTCAGCTAACAACAGCAGGAGTAATAGGGGCACCTGCAAACAACATAAACTCACCTGGAAAAATGAGGACACCCACCGTTGTTCATGCTGTCTTGGAAGGAATATTCCACACATACAGTTGTGCTATACCATACATCATATTGACCTTAGATGCACCTGTACATTGAACTGTAGGTTGCTGGTTGACCTGCCTGCACTCTGGAGGGGGAAAAAAAAAAATTAATCCCCCCGATTTCAATGCAACTGTAAGTATTTCCCATCACTGATTTATCTGCCTGTATTTAAGCCCCTGGTGCCCACAGAATGAAGCCACATGATAATTTCTCCGGAACGCAGTTACTGCACCAAAGCCCTGTCAGAAGAGAAGACTGGCCCACAGCTTCACCAGTTTTTACCAGTGCAGACAAAGATGAGGCAGAAAGACTCGCTGATTTTCTGTGTTCCTGCTCCCCCCCGTTCTGGGCTGGCAGCAGACAAAAGCTCCAGCATACTCTGAGCAGCCACCAGGATCTACATCGTCACAATTGCAGCATGCCTGCCAGCGCGGGAAGGAGCCAAAGCCCATCCTTTGCTTCCCGGTACGCCCGTTCCCCCTCCTCAGGCGGTGGGGCAGGGAGGGCTCACCTCCCCAACTCCTTACCCTGGCGATCCTCACCTTTCTGCAAGGCAGCCCTCAGCAGCACAAGGAGTTTAAGGATTCAGCTTTTGATCTTTGTCCCATCCACCTTTGCAGATGGACACCACACATAAACAAGCAATGGCATAAATCATTGCGTGCACTGCTACATTAAATTATATCACATACATAATGGGAGGAGGAGATACTGTTCCCTCAACAAGTGCCTCTCTCTGTTCTCCAGCTTTTGCTCACAGGAAATCTACACAATATTGCTGCAGTAAATTCTCAGCATTTAACAGTGTCTACTCTCCACAGACATTCTTTGTACAATAAAAATAATTGGCTCTTAAAGACAAGACAAGGGACAATAAAGAAAGAGAGTTAACACTTTGGGTCCCTATGGCTTTGGAATTTACCTTGTCTAGCCCTTTTAATATTTCATTATGGCAATTACGAAGTTTTTCATTTATTTGTTAAAAGGATATTTGCAAAAAGAGTGACTGTGGAAGAACATTATCTCCAAGGTAATATTGCACACTTTATAGCACCTTGCCCTTAACTCATGCACAAGGGAGAGCTTTGCAGGGCCCTGGGAAAGTAAGCAATGATGATTGCTCAAGCATTCCCACAGAGCCCTTCAAAAGATGGATTAAATCCAGGGTCCTCTTTTCATCCAGTGGGTTAAGTGACTTGGCCAGAAACAGTCTGTCGGGGTCAGAAACAAAAATGGCACAGGCTCTCCTACTTCCTCACGTTGCCATCTTACTACCAGCCCAACCAAACCCTTCCTCTCATCAGATCACCTACCAAACAGCAGTTCCCAGGAGTTGCTGGTCCTTGGAAGGCATTTCAAAGGAGTTTTTTTTCTTTGCCTATGTCATTTGAACTGTAAATTTTGTTTCAAAGCTTAAGAAAAGAGGAGGGAGCAAGATTCGCCGTTTAGATTTTGCAGCAGTTCCCCCTCAGAGAGGCACGACAGGGTGGCAGCAGATTAAGCTTATAGGACTGGCACAGCTCACCAAAGCCTTTACACCCCCAGAACATTTGCAGCTTGTAAATGAAACACTTGCAACTGGCAACACTGCAAAACCAAAGCAAAACCCAAATCAGGCAAGGGGCAGGCGGGCACCAGGGAGGTTTTCTCTGCATTTCTTTCAGCGGTGGCATTGAGCTCAGAAACGAAGCCCAGAGCTGCAAGCACTTCACACTCCAGGTGTCGGTGCAGGCATTACACAAAGGCAACATATGAAAGTGCCAAGGCGCTGCTCAGACAAACCTATAGACTCCAGTCTTATCTCTCAGGGGATCAGCCCATTAAGGATTCCCCAGAGCCCACTCTGCAGACAGATGAATATTGCTTTAACTACACAGTCCATAGAGGATGCAATACGCAGACCACAGACTTTCTGAACCAAGAAGAAAGTCTGGTTCACCCTCAAAGTTCTGGCAGCCCATTTCACAGGTTGTAGTTGGATTACGCAAAAAAAAAGATCACTTTTTGTTTCAATAGCTGAAAAAAAAAAAAAAACCAAACAAAAAACCACAACACATTGTTTTCAGTAGATGTGAAACAAAGTTTTCAGCAAACCAGACCTCATTCATTTCAGGTCAAATTAAAACGTTTCCTTTGACACAAACCAAATCATTTCACTCCATGCATTCCCAGTTGGGCATTTCATAACCCTCCTTAGAACCACTCTCTTCTATTTTCTCCCACAGAGGCTGCATCCAATTCTCCCTTCAAGACTTCTCACCCCTCCTGGTGAGCAGAAATGGGAGACTGGAGTTTCCTGGGAGAGTTCCTTGAGGAGGTCCACAAACACTCCACAGTGGTGGGGAAAGTCTGGTTGACTGTGCTCTTCATCTTCCGGATGCTGGTGCTGGGTACAGCAGCCGAGTCCTCCTGGGGGGACGAGCAGTCTGACTTCATGTGCGACACCCAGCAGCCTGGCTGTGAGAACGTCTGCTACGACAAGGCTTTCCCCATCTCCCATGTCCGGTTTTGGGTCCTCCAGATCATCTTTGTCTCCACTCCATCTCTGGTGTATATGGGCCATGCAATGCACACGGTGCGCATGGAGGAGAAGAGGAAGATGAAGGAGGCAGAAATAGAGGCCCAGGAGATGAAAAACAACGGTGACACATACTACCAGCAGAAGTGCCCCGTGGCAGAGAAAGCTGAGCTGTCTTGCTGGGATGAATCAGGGGGCAAAATCATACTCAGGGGCAGTCTGCTGAACACCTATGTGTATAGCATTTTGATTCGCACTGCCATGGAAGTGGCCTTCATTGTGGGACAGTACATCTTGTATGGGATCTTCCTGGAGACCCTCTATGTCTGCCAGCGGGCACCTTGCCCCCACCCTGTCAACTGCTACGTTTCCCGTCCCACAGAGAAGAATGTGTTCATCGTCTTCATGCTGGCCGTGGCAGTGCTCTCCCTGTTCCTCAGTCTGGCCGAGTTGTACCACTTGGGCTGGAAGAAAGCCAAAGAGAGGTGCTCCCGGTCTTACAAACCCAGCACCAGCACAGCCCCCGGCAGATTGGAGTCCGCCCCGCAAGTAGAAAGGGCCCAGATGTACACTCCTCCACCAGATTTTAACCAGTGCTTTTCAAGTCCCAATGGGAAGTTCATCAGCCCCTTCAGCAACAAGATGGCCTCCCAGCAGAACACCGCCAACTTCGTCACCGAGAGGGTCCATGGCCAGGAGGATGCTGCTGGTGAAGGGCCCTTTATTAAGTCCAACTACGTGGAGAGTCCAGAGGCTGCCAATGAATGTGCGGCACCCCCCGAATGTGTGGCACCCCCCTTCCCTGAGAACTACTTCAATGAGAAAGCAACCCCAGCCGTGCCAGCAGCAAGGCGAGATCAGACGATTTGTCCGTGTGACCAGTCTCCAGGAGGGGGGAGGAGGAGGAGGAGCAGTCTCAGCACTTAGTAAAACTTCTGCCAAGTGGACTCCAGACTCTCACCACTAACCTCTCTGTTTTCACACCCTCGTGCTCCGTTTCAGCAAACTTCATTGTTATATTGCAGACAGCACCTCTCACAGCTTAAGGCAGGGGCAGCCACCGGGAGACACGCACTGAAGAGAGGCACCAGTCTTGAGATGTGAAGCTCTGGGCCGTATTTTCATCACAGGACCCACACGGACTGGAGGCTTGCTATCCTTAGCCTGGTAGGGCACAGGCCAGCAGGCTCCGGAGGCTGCCCAGCAGGTATCCACTGAGACACTGTATTCAACAGGCTGACCGGACCTCATCCCCCTTGCATCTCCTTTGGTGTCTGATCAACATTGGCTACGTCAGCTTGGCAATTATACTGAGATGAAGCTTCTCTCACCTGCGGGGAGCAGAAACACACCGGTTGGCTTTCTGAGAGAGAGACTCTCATCTGCTTTGTTCTTGCGCTTTCTAACCCTCCCTTTCTCTACCTGAGCTCAGATATTTTATACCGGTTTACCTATACAGTAAATCCTACTTGAATTTTTTGACACTGTGTATATAACTCTTCCCCATAGATAAGGACGTCTGTGGTCATCCCCCTCCCCCCCAGCTGCCTCATGTCTAACTTTGGAATCCCTTCCTCATTCCTAAGTCAGCACAGCAGACTGGCCCCGGGGCCCGGGGGTATCACTTAGATGACCAGTTGATGAAGACTAGGGAATTTTCCCAAGATATTTATGTCATCAATTCTAAGCAAGACATCCATTAACAGAAATAGACTCTCCTGTGAGAACAAATATTCTACTAGTAAAAAAGGAGGAATTACCATGTGGAATCAAAGGGATTTTTCCCCTTTTTAAACTCATCTTCCAAGCAACATGAATGCTGCTGAAAGGGTGCTGCCAGCAGCTGACTTGAGAGAAAAAACATCCTCTGTTTATCTGCAGAAGAGGTACGGCCTGTGTCTTCTCTCACTAACCTACCAAAACACTTCAGCATCTTTTGCAAGGAACAAGAGTCCTCTCCGGGTCCTGCACATCACTCAGCTCTTGGCTGCTCTCTCAAGCCTGCCAGCCAGTGCAAGCCAAGACATCTGTCCTCACAGCAAGTCCCTGTTCTGCCATCAGGTCATCTTCGCCGCCACTCCATCCCTAGCGCATACGGCGTAAGAAACCACCCATGGACCAGCTCTTGCCACCACTGTAGCCTCCCAGAGCAGCCACGGGGGCCCAGCACTGCACAGTGAAGTCTGGTGGGCGAGGTCTGTAGGCAGCTACCACTCCAGATACATTTCCTCACTGCAGAGCTGACATCCCTCTTTTAAAGAGAATGGCTAAACATTGCTAAGCTGCTCCTTGTTGTTTACCTTGCCCTTTCAGACACGGGCTGCAGCTTCCCGACGTTAGACGGCATGAGGGAATGGCCTGGGACCAGCTTATGAGGGGTCTGAGCCATTCCCTCTCTTAGGGGCCGCTGAAAGGGACTGTGAATCCTTGCTCCAAATACATCGTTAGCTTTGGTACAGTTCCCTGTATGTATACATACATACTCACACACAGAGGTGGGGGAAAGCATTTTTTTGTTTGTAAGGTTTTTTTATATATGTGTATTTTTTAATCCTGAAAAGACCTGCGTGCCCTCCTTAACATGAGATGTTAGTCAATCGCGCCTAGGTTTCTCCTAATAAAGTTCTAACTCCATATCTCCTTGTTGCTGTTTCTCCTCTCACGTGGCTGAGACTGAGCTGCTGGCATCGATCAGGCTGCCCGCCAGCCTCTGCTGCTCAGAGATCACAAAAATTCCCATTGCCCAGAGGAGCAAGGACGAGGGGAGGGTTCGGCCAGGGGGATAAATAATAAACATTGGGAAATGATTGATTGACTGGCTAACAGAAACCCCCTCCAGCTGCCCTGCCTGCCTCTGCATTACACCAAGGAAGACCAGGAAGAGCTGGCCAGAGAGCAGAGCTTCCATCCTCTTGAGATGGAAACACTTCCCTCCTTGTATCCCCTAGCACACCTCTGCACCCAGAGAGGCCAGCTGCAATGTGAGGCCAACTCAGGAGGGAAAGTGTAGCACACCCTGTCCCCTGAGCACCTGGTTGCTTGTCAGTGCAGTAACAGGGCCTTGAAAGGCTTTTCAAAAAGGTCTTAAGAGACATTGAGAATCCACTGCTAAGCATCTCTGCAAAGAGTTCTTGTGTGTACCTGCCTCCCAAGATGTAGTTGTCCAGGCCAAAGAATACCCTTTCTTCCCCCAGCTGATGGGGGATGCCTCCTCTGAATTTAATACTTTGCTCCCACTTCCCCGTGTTCACATGCTCCCCCCTTCTGGTCTTGGATACCCCTGTCTATTTGAAGGAAGTGCCCTTCCTTCCTTCTTTCCTTCCTCCACACAATCTCCCATCCCATGGGACTCTGCAAGCTGGGAAACTGGAGACCAGTAAAGTACTGGGTCCCAGCAAGGAGCCTGAGAGGGGCCATAAAGAACGAAACTAGAATTCGATGAGAACACCAGCAGAAGGGTCTTTAACTGTGGTAGAAACTGCAGGGACCATTTAAGATCATTTAAGAGCCTTGGTTTGGTGGTTTTCAGCCCAGAAAGGAAGATGCCACCTGAGCACCCGCAGCCACACAGTGCAGCAAGGAGGCAGGATTAGTCCCACAGACCCGGGGTTTTTAACTGGCACGTGCACAGCCCCGAACGTGCCTGTCCCTTAGGGTGCCACATCGCTGGGTTGTGTCTCTACTGGAGAGCAAGGTGTAGCCAAAAAAATGAGGATAAATATCTCCTCTGTGCCATTTCAGACCTCTACAATCCATGCATGTTCACAGGTGGTGTTTTGCTGGTCTTTGAGACCACAGGAGTACAACCATCCCCACTCTCTGTCTCCCAGCCTAGAGAATACATGCATCAAAGCAGATGATCTCTCTCTGCCACTCATTTCTTAATGCCTCCCTGGTTCCGTCTTCTAGGTATAAGAAGTGGGGAATGCTTGACGGATGGATGTTTGCACTGGCTGCCAGACCATAAACTTGCAATTCTTGGAATCCACTGTCAAGGCTGGCCAGGCTATCACACCACGGTAGGAGCACATTTACTTCAGCCAGTGAGCATAGAGGCTTGCCTGTCATTTCAGACAGATTTGGTATTTATTGCTTTGTACCAGATGGATGGGTGGACAATCTTATAGTTGTGACCTAAATCAACATTATATATATAAATTCAGTCCTTGGGATAGGCACTCAATCTTTAAATGGCAGCATTACAAAGCCAATGCTCTGAGAGGGAAAAAAGAAAACACATGAGAACTTTCCATTCTGCTCTCGTCCCTCTTTTCTCCAGAGTCATACCTGCTGGGGTCCGCTCTGCCTCTCAAAACTGAATTCTCCAAGCGAGAGCTGGAACCGACATTTAAGAGAAATACCATCCCCAGCTGTCTGCTTGGTGAGCACACCTCAAACCATTTCAGCATCGCCTCCTCTAACTGGTGTCTGAAGGAGCCAGTTCTGACCTACAGCCTTGGGCTGATCAGCTGCCGAGCCTAACATAGGAGAACAGGGAAACGTGTTTCACCAAGCTCTTAAAAATACTTAGTCCTATAAAAGGAAAAGCTACATTTAAAAATGAATAGAATGCCAAAACTAACAAAGTAATGAATCAAGACAAGGTCATGCCTGTAGTCCCTCTCCTCTCTCCAAAGGGCACAGTGGGACAGCTGAGCGGGCCAAGAGACAAACGAGGGAGAAAGGGAGATGAATATTTAAAAGTAATGGCTGATCTAGAGCATGTGGGTCAAGCAAGTTTTTTCCTCTTTCAGCATACGTGAGCAAGGCAGCACTCGAGCAAACTCAAAGCTGGTAACATTTAAGACTTAAAAGGGAGCAGGTCAAAAGATGCCAGACTACGCGATCTCCCCTCAATCACTTTTCCAGAAAATATCACTGAGGCCAAAGAACTAAGATGGTCCAAAAACCAAAGAACAAAAGCACTTGGTGTTCGTAGGAACGAGAACACGCTTGACTGGACTGCAAATGGCCAAAGCATGCAGAATGCAGAAACCCACAATTCAAAAAGTCAGCGTAGCGTAGCAGAGAGCCTTGCAAGAGCAATGGCAAGAGCTCCAGACCCCAGCATCCACAGGAGACGTGTAGCAGCTGCTCTGCTGCCACCGCCTCCTGGGAAGCCTAAGGCAGGCACGAGGGGACCCGCTCTCCCCAGGGGACCCTCCTCTGCCCCTGCTGCTCCCTCGGGAGGCTCTCAGCAATGGTCCAGTCTTGCCAAAAGCATGCCCAGGGCCTTTATAAGCCTGTGCTCTGCAAGAGAACGGAGGAACAGACAGCACACGGCCTCTCTCATTCTGGGCCCAAGAGTAGCTGGCACCCAATGTTGTACTCATCCAAGCAGGGAAGAATGACTTTCATAGAATCATAGAATGTTTTGGGTTGGAAGGGACCCCTAGAGGCCATCTAGCCCAACCCCCTGCAGGAGCAGGGACACCACTAACTAGATCAGGTTGCTCAGAGCCCCGTCCAACCTGGTCTTGAATGCTTCCAGGGATGGGGCCTCCACTACCTCGCTGGGCAACCTGTTCCAGTGTTTCACCACCCTTATTGTAAAGAATTTCTTCCTTATATCTAGTCTAAACCTACCCTGGTTTAGTTTAAAACCATTACCCCTTGTCTTGTCACAGCTGGCCCTACTAAAAAGATTTTCCCCATCTTTCCTATAGGCCCCCTTTAGGTATTGAAAGGCCGCAATCAGGTCTCCCTGCAGCCTTCTCTTCTCCGGGCTGAACAAGCCCAAATCCCTCAGCCTGTCCTCATAAGAGAGGTGCTCCAGCCCCCGGATCATTTTTGTAGCCCTCCTCTGGACCTGCTCCAACACTTCCATGTCCTTCTTGTGCTGAGGGCTCCAGAGCTGGACGCAGTACTCTAGGTGAGGTCTCACCAGGACAGAGTAGAGGGGCAGAATCACCTCCCTCGACCTGCTGGCCA